TTGAGAGAAAGCTGCTGCAGCTTGTAAATATATGTAATGTATATTTTTTTTTTCGTCAATGCTTCTAAAAATAGGTTTTTATTGAAGATGAAATAATGTGCAACCATCTCCCAGTATACATCAGCGGGCGGCCCACGGTTTCAAAGTGGGGGGCCAATTGTATGAGATGAAGCGCGACCATGCGGGGGCTGAGTGGGGGCCTGAGTTCTTATTAGGGCGCGAAGCGCAGTCCTAGCGAAGGGAGCCAGGCGAGAGGGGTGGGTGTGGGGGGAATCGCCCTCCACGGGCAGGCCGAAGCCTTTTCAATTTTGCACTGAAATGTGGAGCGAATTCTGGTGCACATCGAAGGTGAAAAATTTCAAATTTTTTAATGAAGAAAACGGAGAATAACACTTTTTCAGTTACATTGTCTATGTATTACATTGTTCAACCTTAGCTGAAGTAGTTTATAATTTGCATCAATATGAATATCATGTACTAGAGAATAAAGAATTGAAATAGTAGAAACTCTTTTTCAGGGCGTACAGGAAATTTCCGATTTTCTTCAACCTGGTAATAGTCAAAAAATAACATTGCTGCAATGATATTTAAACACTTATAACATCACTCGACTAGCTATTTATCTTTAGTTTTATCTTCTGTTTGCTGACACAGTTTTGCCTTTAAAAACCCAAGCTGGCTAGGGATATCTACATTAAGAATACATAAAACTATTTATTAATTAAAAAGACTTAGAACTAAAGTGCCAACTATAACTAAAAGATAAAAGCGAACTTATATAAAATATAATACATAAAAAACTAACGTCAATAGGGTCTATTGTCCCAGCGATTACTGCCGCGCACACGTACCCTGGGTACGGTCCGAATTATACCGGCCTCATTGCGTTATCAGCGTGCGTTTAGGCTCTGCGTGGCGGTCGAGTTCTGCGGTACGGTTGGGTGCGTATGTAGTGTATGTGTGCGTATGTGTATGTGGGTGTGTGTGTGTGGTGTGTGTGTGCGTATGTGTGTCGTACGCGTGCGCTAGTGCAGTATAAGTACAATGTGATGCATATGAGGCCGTAGCCTAGCTATATAGTTGCGGGCGGGAATTCTAACCGGAGCCGACGCTGCTTCACATCGATAACCGGAGCCCGACGCTGTCACAACCGACACGCCAAGCCGGCCGCTGTCACACGCAACGACCGAGAGCACGACGCTGTCACACCGACACCGAGAGCCCGACGCTCTCGCAACGCGCGTCAATTGGTTATTTCAATGTTCGGCAATTTGCTCGGCCAGGCGCGTGTACAGGATTTGTTACAGGTGGGGGGTCTAACCGTAAACCAATGTCTGCGAGCACGCGAAGGGGGGGTCTGGGGGGCGCCTCCTCCCTATGAAAAGTTTTGTAAAATAGACCCCTCTATGATGCGTTTCTGCGCGAAGCAAGGTGGGGCTCCGGAACTCCTGACCCCCGCCTGTACACGCCCTGCTCGCGGCGCGAAGCGACCAGGCGAGGGAGCCAAGAGCACGAGCGGGGGGACTCTGCAGGGGAGGTTGTGGAGCGTGGCTGTTCACTGTTACAACCTCCCGCCACGATGGAGGATTTTGCAATTATTACAGCTAAAATTGGAGCGCACCCTGAAGGTGAATTCTTGGCCAAATTTTCATTATTCCCCGAGTAACCCGCCCTGGCTACGGGCCATGCATATGCAAAGCTACGGATACTAGATATTCGACCTCGCATCGAGCCTCGAAGCAAAGGATCAGGCGCCCCCGCAAGTCCGCCACCGGTATTGGAGGTAAATAAATGCGGCGCCTGTGCATGTCTTTTGCTATAGAGATAAGGCTAGAGGGACTTCGTCAAACTTCTGTAAATTTTCCAGTATTGCAGATGGCAAAATGTGATAAACACTCTCTTTCGCTCGTTCCCCCTTTCCTCTCCTCCTTATTCTCTCTTTCTTCTTGCATTTCTTTTTCGATTAAATACAAATACATAATAGACATATATTTTTCGCTGCAAAAAGTGGGGGGCCGTCGGCCCCCGGCCCCCCGGTACGCGCGCCGCCCTGAATAAACGACATATAGGCCGACTGTGTACTTTTCTGAGCCCCGCTGAGCTTTTGACTTGGTGGTCACGACATCTTTATTGAATGTGCAAGCTCTGTGTACACTTAAAAAGTAGAAAAGCTTTAGTAAGCTGCGAAGCTCAAGATAAAAATGACGATCATATTAGCAGTGTATGTGTTTGGTAGCCAAAATGTTTCCTGATCCCACTTGATAGCATTAGCGTACTCTTCAACCTTATTTTTTCCAGCCCAATACTCTACCTATATTGTAGCTGTTCTAGCTCTATGTATTAACTACATGCTTGGTTTTGAATACACGCGCATGTAGCTTGGAGTTATATATAGCTTCTCTGGTGTAGCTATTTTCGTCCATGTTCGGGGAGTATTTGCTGGCTGGCGGTGTTCTCCCAAGGGTCTCTGCAATCGTTCTTATGTAGCACGCCATATTACCACAGCACAGTCCCACGTACTGGATGCCAATCTGCAGAGAGCGAGGACGAGTTAACCTTTTCTATATACATGGATGAACTATTATACAATGCAATCAATACTATAGCGATTACATCGCCCTAATGTGGATATGTATGTTGAACATTATACGTTCTTTCTATATAAGTGGATTCACCATTACACAATGCAATCTATAGTATGACTGCTGTTGTGTCTTGATGTGGATATGTACACACACTATTACACAGCAGCATAACACGGGGAAACTACAAGCATGTGTTGTTACGATGCCTGCACGTCCAATGAACTACAGAAAGGAAGAACTAAAGAGAAGACCATGTTCACCTCCTTGCAGTCTTTGGCAAACTGAGCAATTTGTTCACGAGAGTTGAGATGTGCCTCCAAGGCTGGATATGGTCTCTTCCCTAAGAGTGACAGTTTAAAATACTATATACCATTGTGAGCATTTAAATAGATTTTCCTACCAATCGAAATATAGGTTTCTATTTATAGTTCTAATATAGAGATCAAGGATCAAACGTTGGGCATCAGTTTCATGCTGTAAAGTTCTGTGTGTTTCTATCTGGCGATCCCCAATCAATTTCTTATGTATACAATGGAACATTTCTTTTCCCCTTGACCTGCGATAAGATTCTATCCTGCGATCTTAGACCCGTGAGAGAAGGGCATTTTGAATTATTATTATTAAGAGTAAGATAAATATAATATTAAGTATAATATGAGATGGCACCTATAATTAAGCACAGCCTCTCAATGACTCTTAGAGAACCATTAGACTTTTCTGCTTACCATTCTCGTCGGTCAGTGTCTGCATAGTTGGCTCCTCATTGCTTACTCTGAAAGTGACAGGCAGCGCTGCAAGAGGCCCCTGTAAAAGCAACACCCACTACATAAGGTGCAATTCTACGTAGAATAATTTAGTTTGCATCATATCCCAAGCATGATTTCACTTTACGAATGTCTACTGCTCTTTATCTGCTAGTCTGTTAGTGGGATTGGAAGTTATAAAACACTTTCAGGGTGTCCACGCAACAACATGTCAGGGCTGAGCATGAGGTATTACCTTGCAGGTTTGCCTAATCTTCTTCATGACAGGTAGCATGGTGCTTGGTCCTCTGGCACAATTAAGCCCAACGACTGCGGCTCCTGCTTTCTCCACCTGACTTAAAGCATCCTCTATTGGCACATCATCGAATGAATTTTCGGATATGTGAATACTCATTGTTACCACTGCTGGCAAGCCTGAAAGTTCAGAAAAATATGAAGTAAATTAGGTAAAGTGCAATATGTTACATTCCTACTGTAATAAGTGTGTGCTCATATTTGTCTACATTATTATACGCGTATACCTTTTCCAAACTCTTGGATAACTTTCAACCCAATCAAGGCTTCTTCTAGATGACCAATTGTCTCTAGTACAATATAATCTGCTCCTTCTTCCACTGCCCAAAGCACCTGCTCCTGTAAGTGTGAGGACAGTTATGCCTGTTTAATAACACTAACAGATCATTTTTTCGAGCAGTACGTATCACTTTCTTCAATAAGTTTCTTAAAACTAGTAAACACATTGTTTCATACGAGCCGCTAACTGGTTCTACTGTTCACATATGTGCCTATATTATGTCGAACCACACACCTTCATGATGTCGCGTATCTTCTGCCGTGTATTTTCGTCACCAGGTGTCATCGGTAGATTGGTGTTGCACAGGTTTCCCGCCATCAGAGTGCCGGTTTCGTTGGCGACCTGCCGGGCAATGCGCAGCGCTGTCCTATTAATTTTCTCTAGGTCATCCTCTCGGTCAATGAACCTCAGCTTCTCCCGGTGTGCATAGTACTGTAAAGAGCATGGGGGCAATGTATGTATGGACTGTAGTAGTATGCGCTTGAACAACGGACCACTCCGCAATAGCCCGAATGAGTTGAGATGAAAACAGGGATAATTGGGTATATAATATCAGGAGTGTATCAAAATATGTTTCAAAGGTTTTGATGCACTCCTGATAATATGGATAGGAGAGAAATTTACTGTTGCATAACCATCTAATGATACATTGTTGCCAGCGCTGTCGTTCCCAGCCCCTGACCATCGACAATACCCAGAGATATCGAATACAGATATGTATACAAATTCAAGAAAACGATCACACATTTCTACACAAAGTTTCACACAAAAGATTTTCCCACACAAAGACAACGGTCACAAAGCATATACCATGAAAAAAAATTCCGCGTATATAAAACAAAGAAAAACAGATAAAAATACACATTCCTGACGATGTCACACCTTTCACGTCCAGTTTCGACGGCACGAGATTAAAGCTTCCACCAATTAAATTCTAGAATTTCCTGAATTTTTTTTTAGCTATTATTGTTCCCAATTTATTACGTCCTCTGTCTCTGCTCTGTCAACCTTGCCTTCTCTGTTCTGCTCTCCTCTCTCTCTCACTCTCACACATAGGTCGAGACTCGGACTTGCCCTCGCAGTATCACGGATGCAACACCGGCCGTTCCTTTCTTCACGCTGACTTACTCACAGTAGATCCTACGCCGTGTGTATCCACCGTTTTCTCTCCCAATTACCGTGTTACAGCACACCTAATAACAGATGAATTACGAGCATCGTACCAAAATGCTATCGTAATTACATAGAGGAACACTCGTACGTCTTATCTCGCGCGTGAACATGGTCAGGGTAGCAAACGCGTATCGTCGAACAAAGTATTTGCGCACGCCGTGGCTCGGGTGCGCACTGCCCTGCTTTACGGCTTACGCACAGTGCGGTAAGCACAAGGCCGGTCATCTCCTCAGTAGTGGGGGTGGAGGGATGATTTGGAGTGTACTTCCATTCATGCAATGTTATAAGTGAAGCAGTGTGCGCGAGTAGCGCACACCGCGAGTGCGCTTGGGCCGGAGCAAAACCTTAAGGGCTGGGGTCAGGGCCCCGCCGATAGGGGCCCTGGCGGGGTGCAGGGGCAAGAGGCCTGCGCGGTGCCAGGGGGCGAGCCGCTCAAGGAAGCTGCTTGATTTAGCAATTTAGAACCTTCAAGATGGTCGTTTTGTTGAGCTACTTGGAAAATTGATATTGTAAGTGGCAATTTTGTGAATTCGACAAGCGTAATTTCTTTCTTTTGGATCCCAGAGGTTTATATAACAGCGGCCCTTCACTGCCCCCTCTCGCCCGCCGTCCAGTCTCCCTGCCACCCACACACACAACCAGTGGCGGATCG